CAAACGCAATGAAGGTAAAAACTCCTTCATCAGATTACAATGAATCACTTAACTATGAATCACACTGCCTATCACATGCACTGCATCAAATTATACTACTCGCGATTTGCAAGTAGCCATATATTTTTTCTGTCATATTTTCGTGAAGATCGTCTTTCCGGAACATGTAACTTTCGTAAATTTTAAATTTTTCTTTGTATCAACTTATTTCATATCATCCTGTTACCAACGGGGAGTTCAAAGGCATTCGCCTATCTTTCCCTCAATAAACTGATACTGATACAAGTTTTTGATATCAGAATCCGGTCTTGAGTAGAAAGATAGTTAAGTGAAAATTTATTATACTTATCTCACAATAATTGAGTGCTATTATTGTGACTACATTCGATGGAGAGCCTGCTTTACCTCCTTCTGTTTCTGCCTTAACTTTTCCACGAATACTGCATATTAAAAGAGATTTAATCGTTTTTGACTTATTTCACAAAGGTGTCGATTTTTTTCTGCTTTGAGTCTGTTTATTAGTTTACTTCCTAGTATATGTGCATTTTTAGGTGATTCAAAATCTTGCTTTAAAATTTTCCGTTCGGTTTCAATTTGCGTTTTCTGCTCGACATCAAGAAAATGCAAGAAAATTTTCATAAAGTCAATGATATTCGTCTATATTTTATGAATTCCGATTTCTGAAGCATATATGATTAGGAGGAGAAGTCCATTAATCTCACTTTTAATTACGATTGAATATCGACCTGTTTCTTTGCAAACGGAAATCGAGACCTGTGAGCACCAACGTCTCATTCGTCTATTTCAGATTCCTCTGTTGAAGGAGCGTCAACATGGATAGCCGGTGGTGTTGGCTTTTTCGAAATGGGAGTGTGCTCAACTTCAGTACTAGATGGGGTTGGCCTGCTTTCTGGGCTTCGAAGATCAACTGGTGGTTTTAGAACCTTTATTTGTTTGCCATTATTTCCCGGTTGTGGATCGACGTTCAAATCAGCAGAGGTTCCCGGAGGTGTGCCCACTTGTGGGGGAGTCGATTCAGGCGAGTTCGTGGGTGGTGAACTCGGTTTTGGTGATGCGGTGTCACGGTTCTCTTCTTCATCCTCTTCCAACACTGCCTGCAGCTCGTGTCTCTCGTTTGGGTTGGGGGCGGCAGGCTGGGCATTCTGAGGTGAACGGGAGTCTTGCGTCCCCGGAACAGCAATGAAGGGACTCGACATTCGCTTCGGCCGCCGCTCAGCGCTTGCATTCAAGTTATTCATCTCTAGATCCTATTTTTGTGTATATAAGAAAAAGAACAATTTACTCAGGCTATCCAGCTGCTTTAACACAATAAAGCTTAACTAACTATGTTTTTTAGTGCAGTAATCCTATTGGAAGGTAATGATATGTGATACCTACTTCCTCCTATATGAAGGGGTGTGTGTGCAATCTAATGTTCTGCAATATGAAGACACCTTTAATATGGGAGTTTTAAATGGGTTTGGGACCTCAGTGGTTTCATAAAAATGATATTCCTAGAGATAGATTTTCTTATATACTTAACTCGTGCACCTTGGATTTCGACTACATATTTTCTGTCATTCTACCTAGTAACAATAAGCGGGTTATTGATGTTTGCCTAATAAGCATAAGCTGTAGTTTTTAGGTAACGGCAGCTTGCCCGTTACCAAAAACAACCACCGGCTGCTCCACGCCGTGACTATCGCAAAGGCGGTTACTTGCGCATAAATTTGTCTAAAGTTGTTAAAGACATGCGCAACATCTTCCACGTTCTCTCCCTCCTCTTACTGTCCCGGACCTGCGTCTAGAATACCTGGTGTAAAATTGAGAGCAACGGTGCTAGTGAAGCCTCATGATTGCTACCCTAACGGGGTGAATAAAGACAAACTTATACGCATGAAGGTACTCCGTACAAAAATAGCATACCCTGCTTCTAAATATCCATCTAGCTAAGTTTAAGATGCAGTTATTTTTCAGGTTATTTTAGAAGCTCATTTCAGAGGAACTTTTACTCTTGACGATAACGATACAACCATCCTGGATCGAAGTCTGTTTTAGGGTGACTACAAGTTAAAGTACACAGTTTGCAAGTCATTATCTATGATAGTCAGTTCTATGCATTTCAATTTGCTGAATATGCGTAAATTGTCAAAATTCTAGCAAGAGCTGACAGTAGTTCAGACAGGCTTTTGATAAGGGTTTGCTGCAAACTATTATCTACCATCTGTTTTAGATAATAAAATTGACCGAAGAGCAGTTCGTTCAACGAAACGCACATTAGACTGGATTTATTTTATTTAGGGTGGTATACGTGAACATTGTCTTTTCATTAATCTAAAAATCCCATTAAGATCCCGTTAAACAAGCTGTGGTAAAGAAAAGGGTAGGTTCATGACAATTGAGCCATCTGTACTGGTGTGCAAAGAAAAATTAGCTTTAGCCTGCAAATCTGTATGCTCTTTTTGTGTATGGCTTCTACCAATAAAAATCTGGGCCCTCTTCTGCAAATATCAGAAGAACCAATTAAGTTAAGCAAATATGTGTTGCGTCGAAAAAATAATGCAAGTTGGCGATTTTGAGGATATTCGTAGGCCAGAATTTTCCAATGGAATCACAGTACTGGAGAAGAAGTTAACATAAATCATAACAATGTCAAGTACTACCTGCGGCATGACTTGCGACGACTCTTTTTGTTGTTAGTCGGTTGATTTGCGAAAATGTATTTTTCCTTAAGCGGCTTTTTTTAAATTGACTGCGCTGTTTCGCCTTTCATTAACTAAAATAATGAGGCGACCTCAACGTAAGCCTTTATACACGACGTCGTCCCGTATTTTGACATTACGTTCATAAAACCCATGCCTGCGCCTGACTGGAATCAGTACTCGTCCGTAAAACTTGAAGCGAAACAGGGAGGCATTTGATCAGTAGCCAAGATCCCCAAAAGGGGATATTTTTATGTGACTGGTGTATAAGTTTATCAAGAGGTATCTTTCATTCACTCTTTAGGTAGGCAAAATATTATTTCGTTATAGACATGCAGACTAATTTACGTAATTGTCGGTAAACGTACTGAATAAAACTTACTGAGCGCTTGCATTTGATCGATTTTTATCAAGGTTTTGAATCGTCATTGCAGAGGTTTTTGCAGTCATGATTGAAACCTACCTTCGCGAATGTATACGGCTTCTCTAAGATCGATAGTTATATAGTTTTCCTCATAGATTTAACAGAATGAAAGCTGTGGAGTAACCTTAAACTACCACAATTACGGATATTTCTTCAATTATACATCCAAAACTAATGCACGGAATCCGATGTCAATATTTTTAGGCTGTAATGCTGAAACTGGTCGAAGGAAAGACATAATATTGCTTGATATATGTACATATATTCGAAAAGTAAAACGTACATCGTAACCTTTACCAAACGTCTGAATTATTCGACGGATTTGTATTTCGGCTTCAAAACTATTCTTCTCGATAGGTATGAAAACTTTATGGAAACTTACCGGAACTGACTGAACATGCTGCGGAGGCGCCGTCGTAGAATTGAGCCGTTCGACATGACTATTCCTTCTTAAATTGAGAAAGCCAATTAGGTAATTAGACAAGCAAAATTTAAAAAAACATGATTTATACTTAATTCGCACAAACATACTTGAAAATTAATCTGCGGTAGACAAAGCAAGTCAAGAACTGTCCTAAGATGTTTTAAACGACTAATATCGCACACAGTTTTTTGATACTTTCGTTTTAAACCTGATTTATGAGTATGCTTTCGTGGCAAACAGCAAACATATAATTAGGAAACTTTTAAACATATCTCCTAAAACTAGAACATTTCAGCTTGTGTCACGGGCAATGTGGTGAATCCTAGAAATAGTAATTTTCAGTGTTATCCGAAAATAACGGTCGTTGAGAAGAAGAAGACTCGATCGCTGGGACAATATGTTTATTCGCCTGAC